ACTTGGGAACCAGGAGCTGAGCCGGCAGAATTTACTGCTGTGTTTTAGCTCCAGGGAATTCTTTTTACTCAATAGGCTGTAACAAGAAGCTTGGGTTAAAGCCCTCATTCATCTTCTAAATTCCTTTAAAAACAAACCACCTTAAATTAATGAAAAATCGTTAATCCTGTTAGGGCTGTTTTTTTCATCATTAAAAAATAACTCTCCCTGCTTGAGATCCTTTATTACTAGTTTTATCTGAGAGGAAAGAACAGCAGCCACAATTCCTAATTCCTGCTCATTTATTAACTTCTATTAATGAGCTTAAAACCCTCCAGCCTTATTGCAAAGTTAGAGCAACTCTCACTGAAAAATCCACGCCTGGAATATTGGGCGAACCCATAGGACACGCTCAGCAGTTGTGTTGGTTTGTTTTTAGAAACTGGAACATTTTTATCTGTTGATATTAACTCAAGAAAGAAGCGGGAAGGCGCCGAGTCCTTCTGGGCTCGGGCGAGCAGCCGCGGTCTGGGGTGAACTGGGCCCTGCCTGCTTCTCAGGAACTTGCTGTGGGAGGTTTTAGACTTTCCTTCCGCGGACGACCGCGGGCGGAAAGGAAACAGAACCACACGAAAGGGGCTGGTCGTGCACACTGGGCGCTGTGGGCAGGACCTTACCCCCGGGCCTGCAAAACAGAACCACGCCATTGAATTAGGTTCATGACTAGAGTTTCTGTGTGTATGTGACTCTGTGTGTGTGAGACTCTGTGTGCGTGTGTGACTGTGTGTGCGTGTGTGTGTGTGACTGTGTGTGCATGTATGAGACTGTGTGTGCGTGTGTGTGACTGTGTGTGCGTGAGACTGTGTGTGTATGACTGTGTGTGTGTGACTGTGTGCGTGTGTGACTGTGTGTGCGTGTGTGTGTGTGTGGCTACTTTTGAGTTTACAGCACATATCTTTTTTCCCCCTTTTTTTATTACTCCTCAGCTGAGGATATTTTTTCCATTGAATTTTCAGAGAGAGTGGACGTGGGAGAGACAGAGGAGAGAGAGAGACATCGATGTGAGAGACCATTGATTGGTTGCCTCCCACATGTGCCCCGACCGGGGCCTGGGATCGAACCTGCAACCCAGGTAGGTGCCCTTGCCCGGGACTCGGTCCGAGGGCTGGTGCTCTAACCACTGAACATCCGGCCAGGGCTACAGTACATCGCTTTAGGTGGCCACAGTCTGCCTTCAGGCAACATACCTTTTCACGTCTCGCGTGTGTGTTGTAAACGTGTATTTCTATCCCTCCCCCACCTTAGCTCCTGTCCAGTGTCTGCCGTGTACCTTATTTGTACGTGTTTCTTAAGAGTTTCTTTTTTTTCTTCCTGTATAATTGCCATCTACCTGACTAAAAACTTCTGTTCTCTTGCATTTACATTGAATTTACTGTAGTCAGGGTGACAGGTTAACATTTCACTCCGTTAAAGGGAATGGAGCGTGGGCGTCTTTTCTGGGGTTGGTCTGCGCTGACCTTGGTTTCTTGACTTCGGTGGGCGGGCCGGCGGCCGGCGGCGAAGCCGAGAAAGCAGCAGGGGATGCGGGGCTTAGCAGTTTTCCAGGTATTCACGGGAAGCGTGACCGGAAATACTGTTTTTAGTGAATTTATTTCTCTACTTCATTCGTAGAAACCCCTTAAATTTTAATTTTAAGCCAAAGATGGTTAGGTTAGCTTATTTGTATTTTGGATCTGAGATTATTGACACCCACTGAGGCCTCTGTTACTCGGATGCATTTTATATTCAGTCAAAATAAAGTGATTTGGAAGAAAAAAATTAAAAAGTTAAATTTTCACTTGGTCTGATTTATCTCCGTGTGACTGTCATGAATGTCTTAATTTTCACAAATAACCTATACTTGACATGATTTTTCCACATCATCTGTATAGGAAGACAGATTAGTCTAGAAGATAATTGGTGCTGATTTTGTGTTTCATGTATTTAGTTGGTACAACTGATGGCAGGTCATGGAAAGTAAAACCAGCTGCAGCTCCTGGTGTTGAGATTTGGGTTTAAGTTTAAGGGAAAACCCTTGTCTGTTTGTCCATCCCTCGTGGAGCGTGTTTTTCTTATGCAATAAATCGTGGCCTTGTCCGAGCCCCACTAGCATGGCCGCCTTTTACAGGAAAAAAAAAAAAAATGTAGTCAGCAATTCTATTTTTAAAACCTATTTTTGCATCAGAGAAACAGGTTTCACTTTAAAGGGGTAGTTTCGACAGTGACCTGTGTCAATCAAAATAAGTGGACTCAGAGCACGGCCTCCGCTTCCTGTCTGTCAGCCAGGCGTCGTCTTTTCTGTTTCTCAAATAAAAAAACAAATGCTGCCTTTATTATAATTTATGGCAACTTGTTATTCTAACAGCGCTTCTGAGGGACTTCAATGACTAGACTTCATGCTAAGAATTTTTTAGAAATACTAGTTGAAAAAGACCAGAAATGCTGCTTTTGATAGCAATTAACTTTAAGAATATAATAATCTCTTCTAATGGCAACAGGCTTCCAATGTCCATAGCAACATAGTTTTATTTTAATAGGAGCCAAAACAGGTCTCTCTGGTAATAACAGATTAGCCCGGAATGTGTTTAATCATTGAACCCAGAGCATTTCCCTTTTTTTTTTTTTTTTTTTTTTTTTTTTTTTTTAGTTTTAGTAAGTCTTGTTTAATAAAAGCTCATATATACTCTTGCCTAATTCTAAATATTATTTGAAATAAGTAAATGAAAATGGAGTCTTAAGATCTACAAGGGAGTGAATAAGAAACGGCAGTAAGATTTATTATCTTTAAATTTTAAGATTCTGATACGATTCTTTGCAGGGAAGGAAGACACATTTAGAAAGACCAGTCATCTCACATTTTATTTAACTTATTTTGCCACGTGGAAGAATTAGTGATGCTACAGATGGTTTTTATGATCAGCCAGCCAGTTAGTTTGTAGCTTTAAAAAGTTGTAAAGGAATTGATTTCAACATCAGTTTATTTCATAAACAAGTATTTTGCCTTAAGGGTATGTTCTTATGAAAACTAGGAATTCTCTCATTTTTGAAAAAGCCTATTTGGGGTGGTAAAGCTAAATTCTTCCCTTATAGGATTATGAGGTTAAAAAAAAAGCTTTTGCAATTAATTGTTATTCAGTTTCAAGAGATACGATTTTATCAGAATACATGCAAATTCGTGTTTCTCAGCAGATCTGTCATTTAACACTGTTCATAATATTTCCATTCTCTTTCCTCCTGCCCATGGAAGGCAGAGCTGCAGCCAGAGGCCCTATCAGGAGCTGCAGGGGGCCCTTGGCCCAAGCGCCTCCGGCAGCCTTATCTTTCCTTTGAGCAGATGAGTGTGTGTTGCTACCTCATAAGCCCATTTAGGTAAAGAGAGGCCAGCAAACTTAGTTGTACATCCAGAGTAAGTTTGGGCTCATTGTTTTATGAATTATAAACCAAAGCTAATAAAATACCCTTATGGGAACAGATGTTTTTACCCCCACTTTTGGAAAAAATAAAATTGAAGTAGTAGAACTAAACTAATTTTAAAAGCTTTAAGGCATACTGGTTACATCCCATTAATACAGGGTGTCCCAAAAAATGTATACACACGCTTTGAATAATTATAAAAGCAGTGTTTATTAAAAGACGTTTCATTTTCAAAACTGAGCTATCAGCTGTTAAAGTGTGTATACATTTTGGGGGGACACCTTGTACTTGTAAGTCAGATAAAAAGGTTTTGGAGGGGGTGGGGAAGCCACCGCCTCTTCTTACTATTTAATCTTCTCTTGAGACACTAGCTAATTATCTACAGATGGATTGTGGTCTGACAACGTGATTCCTAGGACTGATTTTACTGTAACAAAGTTCTCTTAATACCAGAATAGTGGGGTCACGAGACAGCTGCTACGTTAGAATTTGAAATTCTCGGAGGTAATAGAGCACCTCGCCCCGCACACAGAAGGTGATCAGTACTTAGTAATTGGATGCACCCATTTTACACATGAGGAAGGTGACGTCAGAGAGGTTAAATAAAAAATTTTAAGGGGACAAAGCTAGTCAGTAGCCTTTGAGTTTGGATGGTCCCGGCTACCAAAGGATTTGGAAAGCCTGTGTGAGGAAAACTGGATCTTACGGCGTTGAGATCAAGAATGCTGATATTTCAGAAATTCCAGCAGGCGCGACTGGGCCGCCGTGGGGCAGACCTCGGGCGGCAGTGGGGAGAGGTTCCCAGGTTTGCACAAGGGTGCGGCAGCCGGCTCCGGCCAGCGACCCTGGGAACTCACTTCCTCCATGACTCACAGGAGGAATTAATAGCTTCCTTAAAGTTTCCTCTCTCTGCCCTGGACCTGTGACCCCAAAGCAAACCCAGGAGAAAAGTGTCACTGTGCCTAGAAAACAGATGGAAAAGCATCCGCCTTTTAGGCAACACACGAGGAAAAGAACCGGTTGCAAAGACTTTTTAAACATTTATCTTTATTATGGGAAGTATTACAGATGCCCCTCTTTCCCCCCCATTGACCCCCGCAGGCCTTCCCCACCCTGTTGTCCGTGTCCATCGGTTATGCATTTACACCTATAAGTTCTCTGGTTAATCTCTTCCGCCCCCACCCCTTCCCTCTGAGGTCCCTCGGCCTGGTCCGTGCTTCCACGTCTCTGGATCTGTTTTGTTCATCAGTGTATCTTGTTCGTTACATTCCAGTTATGAGCAGAGCTCAAGCGATACAGTTGCAAGGAGAGTGAGCTCAAGCGATACAGTTGCAAGGAGAGCGAGCTCAAGCGATACAGTTGTAAGGACTGCGTTCCGCACTGTGGACCAGGCCTGAGCCCAGGCTTCATTTTCAGAGTGAAAACGTTGCTACGGCATAAAAGCCGCATTGCATATAAAACAGGATTCAGATGCAATGTGTACAGTGCGTGTTTCATGAGCCCAGCATGAGTGTCATGTGTACACACGTGTGTACATACACATGCATGTGTATATTTTTACATTTCAGTGCTGAAGGGAGGGCCCCTGGAGGGCACCTACCGCCTGGTCCAGTTCCACTTTCACTGGGGTTCGGACGATGGGCATGGCTCTGAGCACACTGTGGATAAAAAGAAATATGCCGCAGAGGTAACGTATGCTCCAGTCCTTCCTGGGGAAAAACGCACGGTGATATTGAGCGTTCATTTCGAAAGCTTAACTTTGTAAATTGGACTCAACCTGGGGGCACCGCCTCTTTCACAAAGGACCTGCAGGCTCGCCCGTGGATGCTCCACGGCCTCAGGGACAGCCTAGGCCCAGAGTGAATGAGTTCAGGTGGGAGGGCCCTGTTTTCATAGAAATCTAGACGCGGAATGTGCGTCTTCCCGCAGAATAGGCAGCTCCTGTTGATGAGGTCGCTTGCTAGTGGGCCAGACAGTTCATCAGACTTAACGTGAGGGAAAGGTTGATGTTTAAACGTGCCCCTGTTCTGGAACCCTCTGGCTGTGCAGAGCCGGGGGAGGTCGGGGGGGGGCGCGGAGTCTGGGTCGTCCGTCCTGGTTCTGTCCGTCCTCACTGTGTGAAGACTGTCTCCGCCGCAGCTGCACCTGGTTCACTGGAACACCAAGTACAAGAGTTTCGGGGACGCCGTGAAGCAACCCGATGGGCTGGCTGTGCTGGGCGTTTTTCTGGAGGTCAGTGGATGGCCCCGTTCTCCGTTTTCAGGAAAGATGAACCAGACAGGACGTTTCTAGCCAACTGGACAGTCTGCAGAGAGCCTGGGAAATGCCTCTGGCTCTGGAATATTCTCAGGCTCACTTTCCCCTCCAGTGGGGGTGGAGATGGGACCAAAGATGACCTGGGAGGTGTTGATTAGGTGACTGTGGGGACGCACACCTGTGGGAGGGGAAATGGGTGCTAAACTGCCCACGGCGACCTGTTTTCTTTTTAACCCCACCTTAAGCTGGACGGGGCCGTTTCATGCTGGATGACGGTGGGGGAGGAACAGAATTTCCTCTATTCCCCCCCCAGGGTCCTTCTGGCTGGTCTGATAATCAGATAGACACAAGACAGAGAAAGTAACCAAACTGAATACATACGTATGTGTGGGAACCCCAAAAACATGAGAGTAGGAGACGCCGTGCAGGAGAGGCTCTGAGGCGGGAAGGGAACATGAGCCGATAAGACACCTGGGCTGGGGCTGGGGCGCGAGGCCCTGGGGGCTGCAGGAGGTCGTCCAGGCCCAGAGCAGCCCTTCGGCAGCCAGAAGTTTGTCCTGCCCGGTAGCTGTGTCAGAGGACGTTTTCTCAGATACTCTCTCGGGGAAAGGCCTCTTCTGGGTAGAATTCAAATTCTTCTAGGTACTTAAAGTGGGGGTGGGGGGGTCAGAAGTTTCTCTTGAGCCTGTGGCTAAAGTTGCCTTTAGCACGAAACGATCCGCACAGCACAGGGGCGCATCCGGGGGCGACGCGCTTGGAACCCCCCTCTTAATGCTAAACGGAGAGCAGGCTCTGCAGGGTGAAGGACGGTGGCCCGTGTTGGGGAGTTTCAGGCAACAGTGGCCGAGCGGCCGGGCTGCCCTCCGGACGGTTGTAGATCCAGCGGAGAAGCCTCGGGCTGCTGAGTCACGGGCCCTGAGCTGCGTTAAGGTGGAAGCTACGGGCACATGAGACCATCCGACGGAGGCAGGAAGAGGGAGCAGAGGAGGCAGTTAGGGCCCCGGAAAGACGCCGATTAAACGGCCAGAGGAACATGAGGGGCAACGGGGAGGCGGGCGGGCAGAAGGCAGGCCAAAGGCGGGGGATGTTGAAAGCGAGGGAGGCCCGGCCGTGTGGCTCTTGGCTGAGCGGCGACCTGCGAACCAGGTCAGGGTTCGATTCCCGGTGGGGCACAGGCCCGGGTTTTGGGCTCGATCCCGAGGGGGGGGCGTGCAGCAGGCAGCCGATCAACGACTCTCATCGTTGATGTTTCTGTCTCTCTCTCCCTCTCCCTCGCTCTCTCTGAAATCAATAAAAACATATTTAAAAAAAAAAAAAAAAAAA